TTTTCCATTAACTCTTCCTTGCTAAATTGAGAAAATAATTTCTTAATTTTTTGGCTATTGCTGCTTCGGGTGAATTTACCCCCTCAACCATCTTTAATTTCCATGAGTTTTATATTAATTTACTCCCGAAGCAAAAACTAGGCAAAAAAAGTATATAATAACTAATAAAATTAATTTCTTAAAAATGAACGTACTAGCCCAGCAAGAATATCGCCAATTAACTGCGGAAATAAAACAGTTTCAGGCTCAAAAAGAAACTTTACTCGCCCGATGAAATCAGAAATATGAGGATAATGATTGTCCCGAAAGTTACCGGGATGAACTATACTTAGATTGCAAAAATATTCTTCAACCTCAACTCGACTGACTAGAACAAGTACGAACGGAAATGCTTTACGAACAATATTTTCAGAACCATTCTCGAGGTCTAATAAATACTACTTCACCGGAGGGAAAATTCTGAGATGAAAAGTGTTTTGATGAGATAGTGGATAGCCTAAGTAAATGATATAAGAAGTGCTTGCGTAATGTTAACGATTTTCGCTTACTTTATGAAGGAGTTCCCGAAGATTATCTCGATCCACAAAGTGAAGGAAAAGGGATTGGCACTAGTGCCCGGGAATTTATCGGCAACTTGGTTTATAAATTAATCCGCGAGATTGGCGAACCTACTTTGTATCTTTATGAGAATGGCCGCTACGGAGGAGTTTTGTTCCGCAATCTTTACCAATGAAGAAAAGCAATTAAAAAATAATTTAAATTATGAACCAACTAGAAATAAACAAACCAAGTAATTATCCGCGAATACTCGTAGGAACTAGCGACTTTAAAAAGTTACGTTTGGGTAGTGATATTATCGTTGATAAATCTCTTTTAATTAAAGCTATTTTAGAATCCGAGGAAGAGGTATTACTCATCACCCGACCTCGCCGTTGAGGCAAGAGTTTAAATTTGAGCATGCTGAAATATTTTTTTGAATTAGAGGTTGACTCGGAAGGAAAAGAATTATCTCTCGAAAGAAAAAGCAATCCTAAACTCTTTATCGGTAGTGAAGAAGAAAAGTTAGAAACAAAAGAGAGATGTTTAACCCCTTTGAAAATTAGCAAGGATGGAGAATCGATGGAAAAGCGGGGTAAATATCCCGTAATTTTTTTTAGTCTGAAAAATACTAAGGGTGGTAATTATGAAGAAGTTAAAAATAATGTAATTAAGGAGGTTCAAGAAACTTATGAACAACACGCTTATCTAGTTAATAGTCCTCAATTACGACCAGACGAAAAAAAAGTTTTTCAAAACTATTTAGAAGGTAGGATTGACATAACTGAATTAAAGAGAAGCCTATCCTTTTTGAGTAGATTGCTTTATAAACATTTCGACAAGAAAGTCTTTATTTTAATTGATGAATACGATGAGACAATTAACGATGCTTATGTCAAGTTTGGTTATGAATCAGAAGAATTCAAAAAAATACTAGAACTCGCCAGAGAGATACTAAGTGCGGCTTTAAAAGATGTCACTTATTTAAAAAAGGGCGTTTTGACCGGCATTTTGAAGATAGCTAAGGCTAATATATTCTCAGGCTTGAATAACGTGGGGGAATATACCCTTCTCGATCCAGAATTTGGAGAGCATTATGGATTTACTCAAGAGGAGGTTGGTGTTCTAATAAATAAAAAATTACCCGAGGCCACTTCTCAGAAAATTAACGAAATTAAGGGCTGATATAACGGCTATAACTTTGGAGAACGGACTGTCTATAATCCTTTGTCCGTTGTGCGTTGCTTGACTCGTAGGGGAAGAATTGATACTTATTGAATGAATACCGGAAGTACTGGTTTGATAGATCAAGCTCTCCTTTCTGACGATATTCAAGAAGATTTACAAACTCTTTTGGCTGGTCAAAACATAACTGAGTGATTGCATAAGGAAGTTGTTTTTGAACAAATCAAGAAAGAAAAAAAAGAAGAAAGAAAAAGGATGTTTTTTAGTTTGTTAGTTTTTGCTGGCTATTTAAACCCTAAGTCAACAGACCAACTTGATTTTTATGAACTATCAATCCCCAATTGAGAAGTGCGAAAAATTTATGAAGAGCGGGTAATTCAATGAGTGACTCGGAAATTGAATATTAGTGCGGCCCAGTATTACATTCTATTAGAACCACTTTCAAAAAGAGAATTTTCAGAAATTAAAAGGTTTGAAAAAAGATTGCGGGAATATTTACTAAGGTCCGGTAGTTATCATGACCAATCGGGAGAAGAAGAATATCATAGTCTCATGAATGGGCTTTTGAGTTATTTGGGGTTAGAATTTATGGTTATTTCTAACCAAGAATCAGGCAATGGTCGCTATGACCATGCTCTAATTCCTCGAGTAGAAAAATCTCACGATATTGCTTTCATTTTTGAATACAAAAAGGCAGCCAGCAAAGAAGATAAAGAACTAGATTTGGCCGCCGAAAAAGGTCTAAAACAAATAGATGAATTCAACTATGACATTAGAATAAAAGAGTATTCCCAAGTCAAACGAATTATTAAAATTGGGTTAGCCTTTCGGGGAAAGAAGCTAAAAGCCGAATACAAAATAGAAGAAAGAAGGCCTGATAATGTTTGACTAGACATAACCGAAAGTCAAACTAAAACGCTATAATATAATAATAATCAAAATGAACGTACTATTAATTACTAATCAACAATTTCTAACTGAGTTAGAACATCGTTTGGCTAACAAAGAAATCACTCGCCGGGAAGTTCTTCAATTAAAAGGAATAAATATTAATTGATGCTTAGAATGTAGTGGAAACGATGAAATAGAAGACAATGGTTATTGTGCGAATTGTAATGATAACCAAGTGCAAATAGTAGTAAGTAAATAAGAGTTATGGAATATGCTAATTGTCAAGACGAACTAATATGTCAAAAGAAAAATCTCTACGAGCATTTTAAAAATACTCCCCAAAAACTTAAAATAGTTTGCGATTGAGATGAAGTGATTCAGGCTGCCTATCCTTATGCTCATTACTTATCAATGTTGGAAGAAGCAGAAGAAAATAGACCATTGGACTTTGCCACTTATTTCAATAATTACTGACAGAATGGAAAAAGCAATTATGGAATTAAAAATCCCTCTGATATTTACCACCAAATGCCTTTTCTTACAATAGCAGAAGACTTGCTTAAATTGGTGAAAGAGGACAAGGTAGAAGAACTAATATTTTTATCGACTAGTGATGAAAGAAAAATTGAGGTATTTGAAGAAACTTTTCGCAAAGTTGTTGATAAGACTAGTTTGCATTTACTTTCTATTGAAAAAAAATGGAACACTAAACACGAATGAATTAAAGATAATGGTCATTCTGACTTTGATATATTTATTGATGATAGCCCTCAGGTTTGCAAGGGTGTTCTTAATGAGTTTATTTCTTTGGGAATGTGTCGAAATTGTCGAAAAAAAGAAAAAGATATTTGCGAGCATGTAAAGGAAAAGGCAATAGTTTGTTCACCTTATTATCCAGTCATAGAAAATCAACATCATAAGGAAGTATTGTTAGTTAGAAATGAAGTTGGTGATTTGAAAAAAGAACACTTTTCTCAATAATTTTCTTTTTGGCTGCTGGCAGGCAAAAGTTATGACAAATTAATCCCCCGTTCCTATTATAAGCCTCTCAATCTTGCCGAGTTTTGATTTCTTTTCCGCATTCGCTACCTTCTGCCACATTGAGAAAATATTATAATGCTTCTTTCCTTTTAAATTAATTAGGTTTAATTATATGCTTTTCCCCTAGCATTTGACAAGCATTGGAACAAAAGTAAACATAATCAAAACAACCATACAAAACTTTTCCCGTTTCATCTTTTACCGGAATTTGCTGTCTAATAACCTTTTCTAACTTGGTATCTTTCTGACAAGTAGCACAACGGAATAATAAATTGGTATTTTTATTTCA